GGTTGGGCGATCTCGCCAGGTACGTAGCCACATGTTGACGGCCTTGGCGGGCAACGTGTGCGCAGGGTCCATGTCGGGCGTCTTGATATCCAGCAGCGTGGTCAAGCATCTGCCTCGGTTGCCAGCTGATGCCGACTGCCCGAGACGACGGCGGACCGAGACCATCTGCTGGCCAAAGACTCCGTGCACCTGGTGGCCATAAAGGCCTGCAGGGAGGCCCCCCTGCTTCTGTAATTTAGCCGTCACGTGGTACTGCCTGGAGGCCTTGGTGAACTTGCGAATCCTGGTTGAGATCTGCTTGTGCTTCGTCTCGCGTGCACGTCTGGTCGATCTGGCCATCCTGCCACAGCCGAAGTCGACGCCCAAGTACGTGGCCTGCGAAACACCCTTGATTTCATATCCTCTACTGCGAACATCCTTAACGATAGCCCTCGTGTCATGCATGTTGGTGCACATGATGATGGACTTCGCGGCAACGTTCAGCTTCCTGAGCTTCAGCTGCTCGCACGTGAACACTATGCAGTCCACCATCTGTCGCCTGAGTGCCTTCCTCGAGCCTGCCATGCGTTGAGATAAGTCGTCGATCCACAGTCTGTGATCGAACTGCGGGTGCATGGTCGTAACTGCTTCCATCACGAAATGGGTGAGCGCCTTGGCGAAGCGCGTGCCAGAGCGGAGCCCTTGGACTACACTCTGGCTGGGTTCGAACGGGTCCGTCGCCGCGCCCATTTGTTCTAGTGCCCTGGGGGCTACACATTGCACCAGCTCGAGGTAGAGCACAACAGGAGGAAATTTAAGTCGTAGCGCTGCTGCTGCAAGTGGCTGCCATGGTATTGAGTCATAGAAGGCTTCTATGTCTAGCATAGCGTGCCCATGTTGCATCTTGAAATTATGAGCGACCTCTTCACTTATCGAGCGTAAGAAAACCTCTTGGAGGCAAGAATTGCCACGTATAGCAGCGTCCCAATGTGCTGATTGTTCTTTACTCCATACCTGAATTTCTTCTCCACGAATCATTGACCATACTCGGCCCAGCATAGAGACCAAGCCTATCGCCCGATCTCCCGTGCTCTTCTTGGGTGTGAGCCGCGCGAGGATCAGGAGCACCTGCACTGGCCACGTGAGGGTGGCCTCCACCGCCTCCAGCAGCAGGGCCATTTCGGCCAGGCCTGCTGCTGGGAGGCGCTCGTAGTCGACGGGCGTGAAGCCGTCCACTCCCGTGCCCGCGTTCGCCTTCATCCTTCGGCAAGCCTTGACTATGCTGGTGGGGCCGATGGGCTCGAGCGGGGCGTCGACCGCCTCAGCTCGGATCTGCCTGAACAGCTCCCTGGTGTCGCTGAGGCTGACGGCAGTGGGGGCCCATAACTGCTTGTAATGCTTCATCTTCTCGTCCATGATATCTTTGGGGTGGTAGATGGTGCGTCCGTCCATGGCCAGCTCGACCGCTGGTAGAACCTTGGGCTTCAGGGACTTGTTGAGGATCCCACGCGCCTTCGGCTCCAGCACCCACTCACGGAAGTCGTGCAGCGATGACTGGACTGCTATCCGCTGGGCTCGAGCTGCCACACGTTTGGCACATCGTTCCCAAGATTCCAAAACTGGTAGGGCGACCTGGCCTCCGCAACGCAGAAACTCGGTCCACTTCTCCCACGGCGGGTCCTTATCGAGCCTTAGCAAACCATGGGCGTCGGCAGGAACATCACCAAGGAGCTCATGACAAGCGGCGCGGTAGCCGTCCAATTGCACATGTCCGTTGTCACGCGACGTGTGCCGCAAGACCCCAGCCACAACTGTGCACAGTCTCGTCCACCATTGAGCACGACCGTCTCGGAGGTGGAGCTGCCGTCGGTGCGAAGCCTCGTGGACAGAGCGTACCCGAAACTGAGGACCATTCGCATGCGGCGTGCCAGCCATGGCTTGATCGTGGTGCGCAAGGATGGTGCGCTCTGCCGTGGTCGCCCACGCGGCATATAAACCTGATATTGTGGCGGAGTGTTTTGGTTCGAGCCGAAACGCTACGGAGTGCAGCAAAGGAGGGGAGACATATTCTAAACAAGTGGCTCCTGACGCAAACCCAACATCTTCCCGAATCTGACACCACAAATCCTGCGGTATCTTGAACGAAGGCTCGGGGGGGGTCGCGGCAGGGCCAGTCTGTTCGGGCTCGGCTCCTCGGGTGCCTTCCGTGGCTTGATCGTTTAAAACGTCGGGGGGGACTGGCTCGAATTGGGGGGAGGGCTGAGACCGCACACAGACGCACCGTTGCCAGCAGTCGCACCAGTCTCCCGAAGACTGTCACGCGCTGGCTGATTCGGAGTCCTGGGCGCGGGGAGAGGGGCCGAGGGAGGAGCGGCAAGGGCTGGCGTGACAATATGTTGGCTGATCGTCACGCCAGGACAGAAATTAAGCTCATTTCCCAAAGGATCGGGCTCATCAGGCCAGACGTCGAGATCGAGCTCTGGTTCAAAATCTTGAGTCGCAGGATCCGTCCCTATAGGACCCTCAACTCTCCCTACATCGTCGTGAGACTCAGACTGGACACAGTCCCCAAAAAGTGAATTTATAATCCCAACACGCTTGGCAGCAGCCTCGGCTTGGGCCGACTGCCTCAGAGTCTTCGCACGGGAGCTCTTGGACCCAAGAGTGGGAGCCGTCTGAGGCCTAGCCACCTGGGGCAGCCTAAGGGGCATCTCGAGGACCCTGGTGACCAACTGGAGGCCCGAGCTCCTAAGAGTGAGGTGCAGGCCTACATGTGGTTTCCAGCTCACATCACGGACGACAGTCAGATCCTTGACGAAGGGACGGGCAGATTGCGAGCAGACCATATAATCCAAGAGAGAGTCTGGAGCATTTTTCCTCGCGCACGTGCCAACACCTCCTTGCGCCACACGAGTGATCCCGTCTACCTGCTGAATGAAGCTGGAGGCCTGCAGCACGGTGGGGTCCACGTTGAAATCGCCGATGACGAGCCACGGAATGCGTACCGACTTGAGCAAACCTCCCAGTCGGCCATACCGACGCTTGTTGTGGCCCGTCATCTGTATCGAAGAGTAGCCGTACAGCAAGACGACCAAGAGGCTGTAGCCCGCCTGGTGAATCACCATCGGCAGGAAGCCGTCCAGCGCCGACGTCCCAACATCGGATAACTGAGCAGCTGCTGCCCGAGCTTCAGGGAGAAGGTGCGCTTGAAGATGCTTCCGTGCTAGGAACATTTCTCCACCTTCATTCGATCTGTCTTGCTTGTCAGCTGAAACTGTCTTGCCCGACTCGCGCGCTGGATTGTGGTACAATCTGAGCTTCTGCAGTCGAGCCTTTTTGTCCCATTCATGCAGTTCGACAGAGGAGTGAACATGTGTCTCCAGGAAGCCGAAGAAGTGGTAGGTAGCCGAATTCTTGACCAGGTACTTCCAAACTTTGTCAGAGAGCTCCGTCACGTTCGCCACAAACATGTGCGTGAACTCCTGACCCTCGGTTGTGTTACGGGTCCGAGGCGAACCCTCCTGCATTTGTCAAGCCGAGGCCGCGGCAGCCGCCCCAGCCTCCTGGCCAGGCGTTGCGCTCCCACCAGCGGCGGCGGCCGCTGGGTCGCCTTGCCTGGGGGCGGCCGTGCTCTCGGAGCCCTTGCCCTTCGCCTTGGCCGTCTCGATCATCGCCTGGTAGCGCGCGTCGGACAGCTTCTTCGCTTCCTCTTTGAGCTTCTCGGTGCGCTTGGCGTCCTCGCCGTCGGCCTGGGGCATCGGTAAGTCCTTCGAGCCCTCCGCCGCTGGCGCCTCTGCAGGCTGGGCCTCTGGTGGAGGGGCCACGTCGCCTGCCTTGCCCTTGCGCTTCTTGGACATCCTGTCCGTGATGTCCTGCTGGAACTTCTTGGCCTGCTCGAGCCACTGTGTGATCTCCTTCTCCTTACCTTCCAACTGGCCACGCGTGTTGAGAAGGTCCTGCTGGAGTGTCTGCAGTGCTGCTCGTTCAGGCTCTGTGCAATCCATCTGGTCCAGGCCCGCGAAGAAGGTCTCGTCCCACTCAAGCTTGAACATGGGTCCCTTCTGCTGGCTCTGGTTCTGTGTGTTGGCGTCCTGGACGCCCTCTGCCATGGCCACCGCTCGAGCCGCTGCCGTCTTGGCCTCCTTGGCCTCGGCCAGGCGCAGGGCGGCCGCCTCCTCCTTGGCCTCCGCTGCCTTCAGGCTGGAGCGAAGGCGGAGGACAGAGGCCACGGCTTGCTCGTGCAAGTGGTCCGCGTTCTTGAAGGCCCCGTCCGCCCTCTTCATGGCGTCGACGGGGTTGGCAGCAGACGGCGGCGGATCGTTCTGGATCCGCGTGATCTGCGCCTTGAGGGTATTCCGCAACTCCTTATCGTTGGTCGCTGCCAAGGCCTTGCGCAAGTGCTGCGAGACCTCAGTGCCACCGCCCTTGCCACTGCGCTTGGCGCCCGACGGGGAGGGGCTGCGGCTGCGCCGAGCCGACCTGCTGCCGCCGCCGCCGCCGCCCGTGTCGCTGCCGAGCTCCTCCTCGCACTCGTGGAAGTCCTCGATGTCGTCGGCCTCCGCGTCAAGGTCGAACCTGACCGTGCCTCGGACTGGCTTCTTGTAGAGCGTGAGAACGGTTTGGCAGCCAGGGCACTTCCGCTGCTTCATGCTAAGGATCGAGTTTCACTCGCAACGCTTGCATTTGTCGCACCTCGTCCACGGGGGCGTCGACATGTCGCTAACGAGTGCTTCTGTTCCGTACGAAAAACCTCTGTCTTGGTCGTGGCTCCAGTGGTGTGGCTGACACCAGGGCCAAGTCCCTCAAGCACCACGTGGAGGTGCAGAGGACCTGGGGGACGGCAAAATGCTCGAGCCCAAGTTGTTTGAGGAGGAGAAGAATGATGAACAGAAGGAGGAGGAGGAGGAGGAGGAGGAGGAGGAGGAGCCGGAAGAGGAGGAGGAGGAGGAGAAGGAGGAGCAGACGGAGCAGGAGGGAAAGGGGAATGATTAGGAGGAGAAGGAGGAGAAGGAGGAGGAGGAGGCGTCTGATGATACGGCCTGTGTCTCCAGGCCCTGCCGCCAATGGCCTCGCCGCGGACCTACGCCACGACGCAGGGAGGGCCGACGCCCAGAAAACGAGGGGAAACCGGCACGCCGACGAGGAAGCCAGAAACCCAGGGAAACCAAAACAAAGCGAGCGAGCGCCCAGCCCCGGCGACGAGGAAGCCAACGCGGCGGGCCAAGCGGCGGCGACGAGGGAAGGGCCCCACAGCCCGCAAGGGCGCCGCGACGCGCGGCCGCCAGGCTGCTCACGGGCTGCGCCGCCGCTTCTCGCTGTCGATCCTGGCCTGGACTAGGGCCCTCCAGTCAGGCCCGAGCCTGAAGGAGACGTACTCGTCGAGCTGAGCCTCCGAGAGGCCGTCCAGCCATTCCTCCGCCTGCTGGAGTTTGTCCTTCGGCTTGAGCTTGCCCTTGCCCTTATTCTTATCCTTGCGCTTGTCCTTGCCCTTGTCAGAGACATCAGGCCAGGGGTCCAGCACCCCTGGGGCCGTCAGACACGAGCTCAAACGCAACGCTTGGGGACCGGCGCCTATGCCCTTGCCGACGAGGTTAAAGTCCGAGCCCTTAGCTGAATCAGGATTTGCCCCTATGGGCTGAGAGACGTCAGGCTCGAAATAATCAGAACTTGCCCCAATGGGCTTGCTGATGAGAGAAGCGCCGATGCGCAGAGATGCGCGGCAACCCGCTGCTTGAGAGTCAAGACCATCACAGCTGACGACGCCCTCGTTGTACATGTCCTCGTAGAAGTCCTCGAAGCTCTTCGGCTGGTTCTCCAGGTACATCATCTCGGCGATCGCGTCCTGGTGATCAAGCTCGCTCTGGAACACCACTGGCTCTATGCCTGCATCTCGCCCGTCATCCTCCTGATGTTCTGGAGCTCGTTCTGGCGCTGCAGCAACGCCTTGAACAGCAGAGACCTCGCCACCAACCTGCTCGAGCTGGTCGCCAGTCTCTTCAGGAACCATCCCCGACCCTGCCACGGCCGGTGCATGAATCTTGAGCCCATCTGGTCGGTCGAGCTCGTTGCCGTAGAAGTCAAAGAGCGCCCTGACCTCCTGCCCATCGCGAGCTCCTATGAAGTACTGCACTCCAACCTGCTGACAATCAGTGTCGTACCACTGGTGCAGGCCGTCCTTGTTTAGTAGCATGCGGCTGTCCTCCCCGAGCGCGTAGGGGAATAACTCCACCGCATTGACACGCAGCGCGCTGTCGCTGGTGCTGTCGATCAGCTTCGGGTGCTTCGTGACAGTGCCGATCAAGCCGACCTCCTGGTCCAGCGATTCTTGCGCGCTGCCTGCTTCCACGGTGGTGGGGCAGGCGCGCCCTCCTCGTTGAAGTTCTCCAGCTCCTCCCGGGGGTCCTCTTCCGTGTCCTCCGTGAACTGGTAAAGGTGCGACAACTCCTCCAGCTGCCTCCTGTGCAGGTACTGCGTCTCCACAAGCGCGTCGGCCTGACACATGTTGCAGGTCCTCCTGAAACCGAAATTGGCGTACTGGCACTCCTCGCACTTCCAGATCGCCACCCGTGTAGTGAACCGCCGGTGCATCTCTTGCGTTGGCCTCCACGGCCTGCGTTTCTTCAATGCCTTCTCCTCCTCGGGCTGCGGCAGCTTGGGGAGCGGCCTTTTCCTCGGCAGCTCCTTCACAACCTCCATCTGGTGTTTTTCGATGTCCTCGCGGTTGTTCATCTCCTTCTTGAATGCGGTCTTCTCCGCGGGCTGCGGCAGCTTGGGGAGCGGCCTCTTCCTCGGCAGCTCCTTCTGCACAACCTCCGTCACCGGGTGCTTCGAGATGTCCTCGTTGATGCTCAGCTGCAGCATCGCGTGGGTGACCTCCGATAGTCCAGCCTTCCGTAGCGCCTCGCCCAGGCCTGGCCAGTCGTCGATCACCACCTCCTCCTTCTGAGCGGACGCCATGACCTTCCCCTGACGACTCATGCTGTCCTCCCAGTTGAGGTCCGAGGCCATGGGCAAGCTCTTGTTCTTGACCCGCACCTCGAACGCCCTCCTGTTGGCCTCGATGGCCTTCCTCGAAGCCGCACGGGTGGCCGCTGAACTCCACGATGAGCTCTGTGGGGCCAACCTTGCGGGCGAGGGCTGCGATCTGGTCCTGGAACTCTCCATTGATGCTGTCTCCCGGAATGCGCAGCGTGAGGATCATCTTCACGGCACCGGAGCCATCGCGGCCCCGCGCGGCTGCGCCCCGGAGGAGTAGGAGGAGGAAGAGGAGGGGGAGAAGGAGAAAGAGGAGGCCGCTCTCTCGCAATCTGTGCATGACCGTGTCTCACGATCGTCCCGAATGCGGTGGCCGCAGGGCGATCGGGGAGCGCTTTGCACCCCGTCCTTGTCAACAGAGTCGGAGCCCCTCGCCCAAGCAATCAGCTTGTGGACTCTGTGATTGCAGCACAGGGTCGAGAAGCCCGTGCCTTAGTAAACTGACGAAGGTAAACACTGAGACAGGAGGAGGAACAGGAGGAGGCGGAGGAGGAAGATGAGGAGGAGGACGACGAGGAGGACGGAGAAAGAGGAGGAGGAGGAGGGTGAAGATTAGGGGTGGTCCCGAGCTGTTCCGCAGGTGCCGGGGAAGCTCCACATGTTTGAGAGCTACGAGAAAATTCAGACTCAGGAGGAGCCATGGCCGTGTAACACCACCTTCGAGGCCGCCATGCCCCAAGAACCAACAGACCCATGCCTCCAAGGCCGAACACACGGCCAGTCAGACAACAAAAACAGCCGATCAACCGTTCTGCGCCTCCTCCGATCACCTGCCCATTCCTCAACCTCCTCCACCTCCTGCCCATTCCTAAAGCTCCTCCTCTTCCTCCTCCTCCTCCTCCTCCTCCTCCTCCTCCTCCTCCTCCTCCTCCTCCTAGCTGAGGGTCCCAGCGGCGCGCTCCTGGGGCCCTCTCCTTCCGGGGACCTCGTTGGGCTTCCGGTTCCTCTCGTCCCCGGGGCTCTGGATTCGGGATCCTCTTGTGGTGGTGGTCTGTTCGACTGTGAAAGAATTTGTTGGGGTTTTATGGAATCGTTCCATATCCCAGGCTGTGCTGGCTTCCTGTGTGCACGATGCCCAGGCGGTCCGGCAAAAGAAGGCTCCCTGGGGCCAGGTCCGACAACCCGTGGCTGCCCTCTTCCTCCTCCTGGCCAGGATCCGTTGCGCGTTTGATTTGGAGACGCTGTCTTTGATTGATGATCTCGGCAGGTCCTGGTCGGTGGAGCGCTTCTCCCCGAAATTTCTCACCCTGCTTGCGCGCAGTGCTGTGCGGCGCACCGTCGAGCGCGAGGAACAACTTAAGCAACATGATTTTTGTGAGTGGAGCGGAGGGGTCAATTGGGCCCCGCTTCATCAACTGTTGTCTCGGAAAAACTCGGCGTGCTGGACCAAGGGGCACAAAGCCGCCTTGTCGGCCACTTTGGCCAACGTTTATTGGTCCCAACGCAGAATTGCCGGCCATTGCCCTGAAGCGGACAATAAGTGTCAGCTGTGCGGGGAGGGCCTGGGGACCTTGTATCATCGAAGGTTCCAGTGTTGTGCCTTCGCCAGCTGGCGCCGCGAGAACCTGGATCCCATCGTCGCCGAGGCTGCTCGCAATGTTGGCCATCTCAGTGGAGAAGCCCGCGAACTTTTTAGCAGGTGCATGCTCCCCGACCCCACGGCCTGGGTGAAGAGGCCGCCGAGGGACCCGCTCGACCCGTGCACCCGCCATTGGCAGTGGCCTCAAGACGGCCCTCTCTTCATCCCGGATGGGGCCAATGTTTTTACGGACGGTTCCGGTTTCGAGGGAAGCATGCCCGGCTTAAAAACGGCTGGGTGGGCTGTCGTTGTCCTCGATAAGGATGGGAGGACGATCGCCGCCCTGTTCGGAGTGGTCCCTCTCGCCGAGGCGCCAGAGCAGCTGGCCCGCGACGGCGAGGATTTCGCTGTGTTGATGCTTTCGCGCCGTGCGGTCATTGGCCAGAACGTTTCCCTGTTTATCGACTGTGCTGCCACAGTCGGCTGCCTCCGTAATCTCCGGGGGGCTGCGGGGGTCACGTCGGCCAGGGCCCACTGGTGGGCCGAAATCGGGGACCGCCTTGAGGGGATGGCCGTGGTCAAAATCCCTGCCCATACGTCGATGACCGACGTGAGGGAAGGTAGGATCACGGACCTCCAGCGCTTTGGCAATTCTGAGGCGGACCGCCTGGCTAAAGAAGGGGCCGAACGGTTCCGCGTTTCTGCTGAGGATCGTCTTCTAGTGCTAGGCTGTTGTGAGCTAGTCAAGAGATTAAGCATTTTTTGTGCAACGCAACAGTTTGAATGCCGTGACCTGGCATTGCAAGACCACGTCGGCCTGGAGTGGCTTGGACATGTCATCCTGGACGCGGTCCCAGGTTTACCTCCTCTGCCTGCCTCCGCTCGGGGGGGAGCCTCCGCTGCTGCTGCGTGTGCTGCCCCCTCCTCTTCCTCCGAGGGCCTTGGTGGTGGACCCACCGGAGAGCCATCGCCCGGAGCTTGGAGGCAATTGGAGCACCTGCTTGAGCAGGCCGACGTTTACGAGTCTGATCGTGAGACGTTTCATGACTCGATGCTGATGTGCGTCAGATGTGGGGCCATGGCCCATTCCAGCACGAAGCGAGGGAATATTCGGTCTGTGTGTCGTCCCGTCGCGTCGTCGACGTGTCGGGGGTACTACCTGAACAGGTTTCGTGCTGGAGTTTATCCCGGCCATCGTAACCCGAAAGGGTTCACGTTGGCGTACGTCGGTGCCCCGAGCCTGGAGGTCAGGGAGCATTGGCGGCCCTTTTTCTCTGCCTGGTCCCAGGGCTTGCAGGGGCCCGTGAAGCAGACGGGCCCCTCCGCCGAGCAGACGGCGCTTGTAGGGCCGTTGGCTGCGGACTGGAACCGCGGCTTGGCGCTCTACGGCCTTTCAGCCGCTGCGGCGAAAGCCCTTGGGAGGCAAGTGGTGGAGAGGAAGAGGGCGGGACCGGAGTTCGAGGATGAGGATCCCGATCTCGGCTAGTCCCCCCCTCCATGAGTGCATGCAGCTGTGAATTAGGTCGAACCTTTCTCGGTCGGGTGCATCCTCCTCCTCCTCCTCCTCTGTTTCCCTTCCTCATTCTGGTCCTTCTTCTGCTTATCCTCCTCCTCCTCCTCCTCCTCCTCCTCCTCCTCCTCCTCCGCCTCTTCGTCCTCATTCGCCGCCTCCGCCCCCCGCCTGCTTCACCTTCTCCCTGAGGGAACAAACGGATACTGATGCCGCTGCTTCCCTTGTCTTTCCTGGGGTGCCTCCTGACCACAATTCTTTGGCGAATCCGGTCGTGGCGACGAGGGACGGGTAGCGACACTGGCATACCTCTCGTCCTCCTCTCACTTCCCCGTCTGACTTCTTCCAGCGGGGGGTGCCTGGACCGACCACGGGGGACAGAGGAGGGGTTGGGCGGGGGAAGGCGGGGACGCGAGGGAGCTGGGGGGAGGCGTGGGGGAGGTGGTGGATTGGGAGGAGGAGGATGAGGATGAGGAGGAGGAGAAACAGGAGGAGAAACAGGAGGAGAAACATGAGGAGACACAGGAGGGGGGGAGGAGGAGGAGGAGAGGAGGAGGAGGAGGAGGAGGAGGAGGAGGAGGAGGAGGAGGAGGAGGAGGGAGAGGGACGGGAAGATGGGGGAAGGGGGGAGGAGGAGGAGGAGGAGGAGGAGGAGGAGGAGGAGGAGGAGGAGGAGGAGGAGGAGGAGGAGGAGGAGGAGGCGGAGGGCGAGTGAGGGGCGGGGGAAGAGGGTGAGGGAGAGAAAATAGGGGAGGGGTGGGGATGGAGGGAGTAATGGAGGGAGTGATCGAGGAGGGGGGGGAGGGGGAGGAGGAGGCGGAGGGAGGGAGGGAGGGAAGGGGAGGGAAGTGAGGAAGGGGGGCGGGGGAGGGGTAGGGGAGGAGAGGGTGGGACTAAGAAATTGTGGGGTACTTCGGGCTTCCATTTACAGGGTCTTGATGAACCAAAAGGACGGTGGGTCACGCTAGAAATACTGCAGCTGTAGGTCGACGCATCCCCCCTGAAACTGCCCGCTGCGATTCCGAATTCAAGGCGGTACCTTGGGGGGGGCGGGGCGGGAAAGGGCAACACCTGGGTGGCGCTCTTTGCTCGGCGCGCGCGCAGGGAGCGAAACTGGATGCGCCACCACGAATGGCGGGCAGCGGGGCCAAGCGACGATGTAAGACATCCGCGCGAACCTCCGACAAGTCAAGTTAAGTCAAGTCAAGTCAAGCCAAGTCGAACCAAGTCAAGGAACTATGCGCCTGTTGGCGGGTAGGCGGGACACCGCATTGCACAGTGCGGCTACTAGTGGACCTTGCCTCTGGCAATAAAAACAGACCGCATCGCCGACCAAGCCGCGGACCTCCAGCAGTGCATGCCCATTCCCCTTCTGCTGCCTGCACTACACGGCGGTGCCTTTGGGGGGGAGGGGCGGAAGGGCGGAGAAGGGACAGGGAGGAGCGAGGAGGAGGGAATGAGGAGGAGGAGGAGGAGGAAGACGGGGAGGAGGAGGAGGATGAGGAGGGGGCCCTCGCGCAAGCCAAGCGCCCGAACTTTATCGGCAGAGCGCTCGTGCTGTCGAATTTGCATTTCGTCGCCACCAACACTCTTGGAGTCGAAGAGGGCCTGCCCCCGCGTGATCCAATCGAGACAACCCCACAGGATAGAGACCCCGAGGGGGTCAGAGCGCCAGGCCGAGCGGGACAGGCCGTCGCAGCCCGTCGCAAAGTCTATGGCCCTAGCAAGTACCGGTCGCATCAACTGGGGGGCCGGCGGGGGCGGAATCGCGTCGTCGATGTCGGGGGGGCGCCGAGGCGCGCGCGTGTCGGCGAACTCCGAATCCCAAGACTTTTTGGCAAATAAGGGGCCCCAGTAGCGCTTCAAGAGGTTGATTCGCTCGGACGGGTCGAATGCCGCGCGTCTCTGATAATCTCTCACTGCCGACAGGCGCGCGCTGCGACTGAGAGGGGGCCACAGCCGAGCGCGCCTTTAAAGAGACCTCACTTGGGCCCTCAGACCCCTACTCCCGCCCTCGCGCCCAAGACGCCTCTGAAGCTCAGCGCGGGCGCGCTCCACGGCCTCGCGCTGCAAGCGATCCGACCGCGCATGGGAAAAACTCCGGGTGGACGAGCA